TTCCCCTCAAGATCAGGAACATGACAGGGATGTCCACTTTTACCTCTCTTATTCAACACAGTACTGCAAGTCCTAGCTACAGCAATCAGACAAGAAAAGAAATAAAAGGCATCCGAATTGGAAAGGAAGAAGTAGAACTGTCTTTATTTGCAAGTGACATTATTCTGTACATAGAGAACCCCAAAGATGCCACCAAGAAACTACTAGAACTGATAAGTGAATTCAGGAAAGTATCAGGATACAAAATCGATACTCATAAATCAGTTGCATATTTATATGCCAATAACAAACTAACAGAAAGGGAAATTAACAAACAACCCAATTAAAAAATGGGCAAAGGACCTGAATAAACACTTCTCCAAAGAGAACATAGAGATGGCCAATAGACATATGAAAAGATGCTCAACATCACTAATCATTAGAGAAATGCAAATAAAAAACACAATGAGATACCATCTCACACCTGTCAGAATGGTTAGCATAAATAAAAAAGCAACAAGTGCAGGTGAGGATATGGAGAAAGGGGAACCTTTTTGCACTGTTTGTGGGAATTCAGGCTGGTGCAGCCACTGTGTAAAGCAATATGGAGATACTTCAAAAAATTAAACATGGATCTGCCTTTTGACTCAGCAACCCCACTCCTGGAAATATATCTGAGAGAACCCAAAACACTTATTTAAAGAACATGAGCACCCCTGTGTTAATTGCAGTGTTATTTACAATTGCCAAGATATGGAAGCAGTGCAACTGTCCATCAATAGAAGAGTGGATAAAACAACTATGGGTATTTACACAGTGGAATTCTGCTCTGTTGTAAAAAAGAAAATTTTACCCTTTGCAACCTAATACATTATTCTAAGTGTAATAAGCCGGTCAGAGAAAGATACATACCATGTGATTTCACTCATATGTGGAATCTAACAAACAAACTGAACTAACAAGCAAAACAGAGACAAACTCAGATGGAAAATAGATGACAGCTAGTCCAGGGAAAGGAAGTTAGGAGGTGGAGGGATTGAGCAAAAAGGAAAGAGGACTCATGCACATAGACAACAGTATGGGTATTGCTGGGGGCAAGGGGAGTAAAAGGGGACTAAATGATAATGGAAAAAAATATAATAAAGATTTTGAAAAATGGCCAGAGTACCTGAGCAGACATTTCTCCAAAAAAAGAACATACAGATAACTAATAGACATATGAAAAGATGCTCAACATCACTAATCATCAAGAAAATGCAAATTAAAACCATAATGAGATATTACCTCACACCTGTCAGAATGGCTATTATCAATAAATCAACAAACAGTATTGACCAGGATGTGGAGAAAAGGGGATTCTCATGCATTGTTAGTGGAAATGCAAACTGGGGCAGCCACTGTGGAAAACTGTGGAGATTCCTAAAAAAAAATAAAAATAGCACTGCCTTGTGACCCAGCAATTCCAAGTCTAGGTATTTACAATTGCAACATTATTTACAATAGCCAATATATGGAAGCAACTTAAGTGTCCCTTAATGGATGGATAAAGAGAATGTGGTCTGTATACACAATGGAATATGACTGTTATAAAAAGAATGAAATCTTGACATTTGCAACAACATTAATGGACCTAGAGAGTATTATGCTAAGTGAAATGTCAGAGAAAGGCAAATATCATATGATCTCATTTATATGTGTAATCTAAAAAAAACAAAACAAAATAAATGAATAAACAAAATAGAAACAGACTCATAGAGAACAAGGTGATAGTTGCCAAAGGGGCAGGGATGGGGAGATAGGAATAAAAATAATAAATTAAATTATAAATTAAATTAAATTAATCTAGGCAATGTATGTCCTAAATTGCATAGGAGTGTTTTGGACTCAAGGAATATACTTTTTAAAATGTCATGTAATGCCAAGGTAATATGTTCCCACATCAGTTTGTTCCCAGAAACTTTACCAGAACTCAAAATGAATAAAGTGGCAAAAAAGTTAAATAATTTTGCAATGTCTATGGACACTTGTGGGTGTTACATGATGTTTATAACACACATACACACACATGCCCTCAGCAGGGGGCTTGGTGGCCAATGCATCTTCTGAATCCATCTGATGTATTCCTCACCCCACCAATGCGTTGCTCTTTTGTGCAAGTGACCAAAAAGAGTGGATCTAAATTTGGCACATTTCAAGGTCAAATGATCCAGCAAACAGAATTTAACCTCAAACAATGAGACTTTGTCCATCCACCCATCCACGTAAATGTGCACACACACTGATTTCCTTGCTACAACTCCATAAATGTCCATCCCAGAAGGTTACCTGCTTCTCTATCTCATGTTCACCGAAAGAAAAGGTTCTGGTTGTGTTTGTTCCTCCCCCTCCATCCTCCACTCCCACCCCCTCAACATACACACAACAGCTGTAAGAGCAAGAAGAGCATGTTTCTAAAATTCCATAGGTTCATGTAGGCACGTAACTTGAAGCAGCTTCAAAATGGACAGCAAGTAAAAAAAAAAATTTTCAAAAGCCTGTAATCATGTATTTACACAAATTACATAATCCTGTATGCATTTATGTACAATTACAGATTATCAAGGAAATCACGCAAGGTTGTAGCGTTCATGAGATGAAACAGAATGAAAACACCATAAACTGAATCCATACATTTATCTACACAACAGGATCTGGTGCAAACAGGTTCCCCAATCTGGCACATCCTTCAGTGCTGCTTGGAATAGTCACAAGAGAGATGGGAGGGTGGTTCAGTAAAGCTTGTTAAGTGGTTAACCAAGGTGCATATGTTGGCACCAATAACAGTGGTTACGCTGTCTGAGCATCTGCTTATGAAAACTGGGACCACTCATTCCACAGTAGCTCAGAACTGCTATCCAAAGGGCTCTGGGTCTCTTTGGACAAAAACCAGATGCAAACCCATGAGCTGGGAATAACTCACTCTGGGTTGCCCAACAGGACAATGCCCACCAAAACCCTGAGCCATCTATTCTCCCAGAACACTTATTTATATAAATTTCATAAGTCAATATTTATTTATTTACAGACCATTACAGTTTATTGTATCCATTGCCAAAAGCATATAACATTAAAAAAAAAAAAAACAGGTACCAAAACAAAATAACTCCAAATGTGGACATTAAGTAGCATTTTCTAGGAATGTATGGGATCTTAGTCTTTTTCACAAATTGTTTCCTCTCTAATTAGCACCTCACGCTACTTTAAGATTACTTTTGATTATCGCCTAAAATCAATTTTTTCACTTCTAAATATTGTACCCATGACATTATAGAAATGTAATTCCCCCCTATGGCCAGATGTTTAATGTTTTTCAGTCAAAAAATATTAAATGCCTTTTGGAAAAACTAAAGCCTGAATATGTATACATTTTAGCAGCAGCAAAGAGTTAAGTAATAAATAAGACTACTACATCTTGGGATTAAATGCAGTTTCTCTTTAGAAAGTTTTTAAAAAAACAAAAAAAAATAAATGAAGAGAACTTTCTGACCTTTATCATAAATCAACTATCTTACATTCCTTCAGTCCCCCTCCACCCAAAATATTTCTTAATTCTAAAGTTTAGACTTTACTTTTCCTTAATGCCTATTAACAGGAGGGTTCCATGGGCTCCAGCTTAGACCTCAGAAAGACCACATGTGCTCAGGGCAGTTAAGTCATGGCCTTCTATTTCAAAAAAGCTTTAATTCACCAGTGACATACTTTTATTTTTCATAGATAATGTGCATTAGAGCAAAACAAAGTTGGAATATTACATTTTAAAATTAGCTACATAAATCCCAGCACATTTTTTTAACTGTCACTTTCAATTTCCCAACGTAACTGACTCATAGAAACTGTTCTCTGTGGTATGAGAATTTGTTAAAAATTCCTTTTTCTTAAATATTGCTTATAGAATTTGGCTCTTTTCTCCTTAGATATAGTAAGGAAAAGTCCCCCTTGCCCAAAGGCAAGTTCCAAGATTATTGCTACTAAAGAAATATGTATTCTTATGCTTTTTAGCATAAAATCTTATAAAAACCTTGTAAAAGATATTCTATACAGTAACCTCCCCTCTAAAAAAACTGAGTGCTTATGAAGACCTTTTTAAAAACAGAACACAGTCAACAAGTATAACACTTTCCCCTGTCATTACTAATGAAGACTTACTAGTTTCTTTTGCAAGTTTTACTTGAAGGGTCTATTACCTTGTATTATGACAGTTCACACCAAAAGCAATTTTCTATAAAAGATGTTACAATGACCCCTACAGTATTTGTATAATTTCATATTTGAAAACCAAATTTACAAATAAAAAATTTACAAGAATGATCCTACTAATCTGGTTCAGGTGTCCCTTTTAAAAAAAGAAAGAAAGAAACTGCTATGTAAGCTTTTTTTTTTTTTTCCTTTTTGAGAATTCTAAATCAGTACAATGTTTGATGTTCACCCAATGTTCTGAAGACAAGTAAAATAAAAGCATGACTATTGCTTAGCTTTGGTATATTTTGCAAGACATTTAGACAAGTCAGATATATACTGACCCTCATATTTCCAACCATGACAAGAATGACATCAGTCACTTATGAAAGAGTAAATAGTACAGACACAGACTAAAAGTTTGAGACCCAGTTTATCTTTAATCCTCTGGGATAAGCTATGAAACAAGCAGTCTGAAGAGTGAATACTCAGTGTCATGAATGATGTGCATAAGTTTACAATAATATGGGCACAAAAGAGATTGTCGCCTTTAGTACATTAAGGGTCATCAGAATTTCTTATATTCATGCAAAGTTATATTCACTTGCATGAATTTACCACAGGTTTGTAGCGGACTTTCCCATTTAATGCTTACACAGCCTAAAGCTTCCAAAATGCCTATCTGGCCTGTACATATTTCATTAAAAATAAACTCTATATAATAAATAAATATATAAAATAAATAAAATGTTGCCTTTGGAATTTCTATAAATAAATTTAACATTTTTTTCCTAAGAGTTCTTTGCTTTAAATTCACTGGGATGGTGCCAACGAGAATTAACTGAAAAGGTCTCTTTAGTAAGACTGCATCCTCCATGCCTGTGAAATGCAGTGTGTCCTTGTGCAGGCCACCAGCAGATCCCGATGAGTCCAAGTGCGGCAGCTGTGCTGATACTGGCTGAAGGACAGCTGATCAGACATGTGAAAGTCTGCCTATTCCCCAGCATGCATCAGGCCACCATCCTCTACTTTGCTCCTGTCTTGCATTCCCTGCTGCTCATCCACTCCCACACTCACATCCCCCCAACCCCGTCTCCTCTCCTTTTCTCACAATAAATCAAGTGGGCACAGGCAAGTCTCCAAGAAGACAGGCCCCTAAGTGCAAGACAAAATTAGCATCTCCCTATCCAGGCCTTCATCCTACGTTATACATGCGACAAAGTTTGGCAACAGTGGAGCGGATGTGATGACAGCTAATCAATAAGAACCCACTGCACGGAACCTTTATAGTGGTTACTTTTTTAAGGGCTCAAGTGAAGAAATGGTCTTTTGTCAACTTTGGCTGAGAATATCCTTATATAGTTCGGGTACTTTGTCGGGGTCCACTGGTCTTGGTAAAAAATGTGTGAATTTCTGGTGGCGTTTAGTCCTCGTTCCTTCTCTTGGGGTCCCATCTTTATTTAATGCAACATAGTATCGTCTTCCAGTGTCCACATGTTTATAGAGATTTGAAGAGTATGTGTTATACCAGTTTTCTTCAAATTGTTCTCTAAATACACACTCTTGGGTTAGTTTTTCCTGTTTAAAAAAAAAGAAGTAAATAAGTATTTTTGCAAAATGAGCTACTTTCTGTATTTAAAAAAACATTCAATTGCTATATACTATAATTCTGGCAATAAAATGATGATTTTTAACCCATTCTAACCATTTTAACATTTTGCAAAAACAGCTTAACTGTATAAATTTAAAACATTCTGATTTTCATTCAGAATGACTAAAACACAAACAATTCCAAGTGTCTTCTAGTTAGACTATTCTACCAACCAATTATGAGAATAAGTCAAACAAAGAACAACTAACAAGATGAGTTCTTTTCATTTTTACTATAACAATTAGGATGATGACTATCCCAGCAGAAACCAAAGGCTCAGGTCACTGCTTCATCTTTTCTACATTTTCCATAAAGTTCTTTCTACATAGACCAACATAAGCCACATCACCAGTGGTGTCAGATGACATCTGACCTTCGAACAGGGGTGTTTGCTAATCCCTCCATAAGCATGGTCCCTCCATAAGCATATACACAAGAATCACCTCAGGTGCTCTTTAAAACACAGATTTCCAATCCCCAATCCTTTACAATTCTTAACCATAAAGTCTGAAAATATACATTTGTAACAGGCCCTAGGGGTAATTATGATGAAGATACTCCTTGGTCACATTTTAAGATATAATGTATATGGTCATGACTGAAGTAAAAACACATATTCTAGAAGAGAGCCAAAATGGAGGTGTAGGTAGAAATGCTTCATTTCCTCACACAACCAAAAGAAGGGTAACAACCAATTAAGAAAAAAACAGAACTGCCAGAAAATCAAACTGCATGAAAGTCCAACAACCAAAGAGATAAAGAAGAAATACTCATCCAGACTGGTAGGAGGGGCAGAGATGGGAAGCTGGGGAGGAGAGGATGTGAGGGAAGGTTGCAGAACTGGCAGATGAGGTGGCAGCAGGCAGACAGGATTTCCAACATTCACATGCACGTAAGCCAGGAGGAGCAACTGGGGAGCAAGACAAGCCTTGCAACCCAGGGTTCCAGGGCAGGAAACTAAGCCTTAAAACCTCTGGCTGTAAAAACCCATGGCAGATGCAGCAGTGGGAGAAACTCAGAGCCTCACAAGAGAGTCTGTTGGAGAGACCCACAGGATCCTAGAACATACGCAAGCCCAACGACCCAGGGATCAGCACCTGGAAGGGCACACTCCACTTGTGGGAAGCAAGGAAAGTAACAGAAAATGGGGCGAGAGCCAAGCAGGCGAGCACACAGCATTGTTCCCTCTCTGATCCCCCCGCCACAGCACCACAATGCAGTGACGTGGGTTGTCCCACCCTGACGAATACCTAAGGCTCTGCCCCTTACAACATAAGAGATGCACCAAGACAAAGAAATATGGCCCAAATGAAAGAACAGATCAAAATTCCAGAAAAAAAACTAAGGAACTAGGAGATAGACCACCTATCAGATGCAGAGTTCAAAACACTGCTAATCAGGAAGCTCGTAGAAATTATTGAGTTCTGTTGCAAAATTAAGGAACAAAGGAAAGCTATACAAAGTGAAACAAAGAAAAATATACTGGGAACCAACAGTGAAGGGAAGGAAACAGGGCCTAAATCAACGATTTAGAACAAAAGGAAGAAATAAACATCCAACTGGAACAGAATGAAGAAATAAGAATTCAAAAAAAAAAAAAAAGGACAGGATGAGAAAACTCTGGGACAACTTTAAACATTCCAACATCCAAATCATAGGGGTGCCAAAAAGAGAAGACGTAGAGCAAGAAATTGAAAACTTACTTGAATAAATAATGAAGGGAAACCTTCCCAATCTGGCGAAGGAACTAGACATGCAAGTCCAGGACACTCAGAGTCCCAAAGAAGAAACACACCTAGGCACATCATAATTAAGTTACCCAAGATGAAAGATAAGAGAATCTTAAAAGCAGCAAGAGAAAAGGAGAGAGTTACCTACAAAGGAGTTCCCTTAAGACTATCAGCTGATTTCTCTAAAGAAACCTTACAGGCAAGAAGGGGCTGGAAAGAAGTATTCAAAGTCATGAAAGGCAAGGATCTGCATCCAAGATTACTCTATCCACAAAGCTATCATTTAGAATGGAAGGGCAAATAAAATGCTTCCCAAATAAGGTAAAACTAAAGGAGTTCATCATCACCACCTCCTTATTATATGAAATGTTAGAAGGACTTATCTAAGAAAAAGAAGATTAAAAACTATGAACAATAAAATGACAACAAACTCAACAATCAACAACTGTAAATGATAACAAACTATCAACAACTGAACCTAAAAAACAAAAACAAAAATTAAGCAAACACCTAGAACAGAAACAGAATCACAGAAATGGATATCACAAGGATGGTTATCAGCAGAGAGGGGGAGAATGGGGGGAAAAGGTACAGGGGATAGGAAGCATAATTGGTAGGCACAAAATAGGGAAGGTAAGTGTAGTGTAGGAAAAGGAGAAGCCAAAGAACATATATGCACAACACATGGGCATGAACTAAGTGGGGGTAATGCTGGAGGGTGAAGGAGGTGTGGGTAGGATGGATTGAAAGGGGAGAAAAACCTGGGACAACTGTAATAGCATAACCAATAAAATATATTTAAAAATAAGTTAAAGTTTTTTAAAGGGAAAAAAATAATAATTCAAAAAAATATTCTAGCCCTCCTACTTCCCCGAATTTCAATGGAAGAAGAACCCCCACAACTTAAAAATCCACATTCTCAGGCACACAGCTGTCAATAGAAAAGCTGTACTAATTCTCACATTCCTAAAGCTAAAAGGTTCCAGACATTCACAAATGTGGTATACTTCTCCCTTTACCCCACAATTTAAGGCTCCTGTGTCTGCCTGTTGTGGGCAGGAATTGGGACTAGAAATGACATGCACATGACATCCCAGAATCACAAACAATCCTCAACACAACCTGGAGTTCCTCACCCGGAAAAAGGAGACCACAGACTGAACTGCCTCTGTGCTCTTCTCATTCCTCAGCTGAAACCTTTAGAGTAATCTCTACTTATATGGCACTTTGAAAAAATAAATACAAAAATGTTTTTTAAATATTTTCCTCTTGGAAAAATCAAGACAATGGAGGGGTAAGTGGAAGTCATACTGATGTCTTCCCAGGACCAACCTGTAACTACAACTAAATGGTGGAGAAATCACCTGGAACAAACAACTGAACAGTAGTGAGAGAGGAGCCCTGTAACCTCAGAGACAGAAGAATCCTCTTTAGTGCAATCTAACTGGTACAGAGTGCGGTACAGACTTGAGAAGTCAGGGGGAGTGCTCATGGGCAGCAGCACCAGAAGGATAATGAACCAGCCAGTTGGATCCCCCTGAGAAGAGCGGGGTCTAAACCAAAAGTGGGGATCTCTAGCCCACAGCACCAGAGCCCAAAAAGTAAACAGAAAACAGCCAGCTGCAAAAAGCAGCAGGGTTGCTTTCTGCCAGAGATAGGCGGCTGGAGATGCAAAGAGCAATTTAAGGGTCAATGCATAAATTTTTATTTGCAGTCATTTACACTGGTCTCCAGCAAAGGCGGAGGCACAGTGGGCTAGAGATGCCTGAGGAGAGACTGGGGAAGGAGGCTATGAGGAGAGAACTGAGAGAGTAGCTGACAGGATCTCGGTGCTGACTCATCCCTCGTGCGGCACCAGCCCTCTTACTCAGGCAGAGACTACATCCCCTGAGTGGCACCAGCATCAAAAAACCCAATAGCCCCATCCCCAGGTGAGATTCCACCCAGCCTGGTGCTGTATAAGACACCTGCTGAGTGCAGAGGGTCAGCCACAAACAGTAGATCCCTGGCTAAAGGGGGCACAGAGAGGTCTGGAGACACTTGAGGAGAGACTGAGGAAGGAGGCTTTGGGGAGAGGATGGAGAGAGTAGCTGGCGGGATCCCAGTGCAGACTCCTCCCCCATACAGCAGCAGCATGAGAGGACCCAATGACCCCACCCCCAGGAGGGACCCCACCCCCAGGAGGGACCCCACCCCGCCCTAAACTGTCTAGGCGGCCTAGCGTGTGCAGAGCAACTAGACTAACAGCTGAGGGAGACAGCCATAAACAGTAGATTCCTCCAAGTCTCAAAAAGGCTGCCTAAGGTCAGACAGGGACGACATCTGACATCATCCGAGGCAGATCCAGAAAGTAGAAACAGTGGTCTCCAACCATAGAAGTTCACACCACAAAGTCAGGAAATCAAGACAGGTCAACTTAAGAATCAGAAGCAAAGAGAAGAGTCTCACAAATAATGGGAAGACAAAGAAATTCACCCCATTTGAAGGGAAAGGAGGAATCCCCTCAAAGAGAACTAAATGAAATAGAGGCAAGTCAACTATCAGATACTGAGTTCCAAACAACGGTTCTAGGGAAGCTCAGTGAGCTCAGTGAGCTCAGAGAAAATTACCAAAAACTACAGAGAAACTATGAGGAACTTACTGCAAACTATCTCAGCATGGAAACAGACATAGACACTATCAACAAGAGACAGGAGGAAACGAAGAATACAATTTCTGAATTGAAGAACACAGTGGAAGGAATCAAAAGCAGGCTCGATGAAGCTGAGGACCGAATCAGCGAGCTGGAGGACAAGGGAGAAAAAAGCTCCCAGAAAGAGCAAGAAAATGAAGAAGGACTCAAAAAGAATGAAGAGGCATTTAAGGAAATGCAGGACAACCTGAAACGTAATAATATCTGTATAATAGGGATACGAGAAGGGGAAGAGGAGGAGGTAGGGATAGAGAACGTGTTGGAAAAAGTAATGATGGAAAACTTCCCTAATTGGAGGAGAGAAAAAGTCACACAAGTCCAATACTTGATATTACCAATATTTTTAATACTCATTAATCTGATTGTCACAATGATGTTATTTTAATTGTTCCTTTATTATTTGTTGAAACTAAACCTGTTTTTGTGTATTTCTTGCCTGTTTCTATTATTTTTAAAAAGCTCTAAATAACTTTTTGGTATTCTTTATCCATTTATTGATTAAAGG